CCAAGAAAGTAAGAAGAACGTTGTTGTCTTTCTAAATTTTTCTCTTGTTATATATAACTTTTATTCGTACAGTAAATTTTAAAAATTTTAGCCCACCGTATCCGTCATTCCTGGCTCCGCCCCTGCTTCCAGGTGTACAAATAATTCTTAGTCTAAAGGCTTTTGACGAGCATATCGTCACTATATACTTTCATTTTATTTATTTATTATTTTTATTTTTATTTTTTTTTTGCCTATTGGATCAGTGAACATTTTATTGACAAGCCTTTGATATGTTGCCAATGTTTTACAAACCAGATGACATTAATTTATAGTATTATAGACCTCAATCAGTAATAAAGGCACTATATTCTTTATCATGTTCACAAGTGGGAATTTGATTATATTCGGAGTATGCATCCATGAAACTTAATAATTCATGTCCTTTGATCAATTTTGGGGTGAGGAAAACTACCTTAGGGCACGCCTTGTTTAGGTCTGTAAAGTCTTGATAGGCTAACTACTTTTCATTGCGTTTTGGAAACTAAATTGGATTACAGACCCACACTGGATATTGAGCTTTATCGATAAAACCGTTTTCCAGTAATTTGTGTATTTTCCTTTTTAAAACTTCATATTTGTTAGAGCTAATTGATTGTCTCTTTTACATTTTAGGATTTATTTTGGGATCAATTCTATGGCATGCCACCCATGCTTACAGGCGAACGCGTCAAGGTTCACCTTTAGGAAATACTTTAACAGGCTTTTTATAGGCTCAACCAAATCTTTGCAACTTTTAAGACCTTGGTTTCATCTTCTTCGCCATTGGAAAAAGCTTTCCATCTCTTCAAACACTGCAACTTTGGATGTGAATTCGATAATAAGCTTTCAATCTCTTCAAACACAGTGGTTAACGAGGCTGCCTCTCTTAGAGAACTAAGGTAGTGAGAAACGCAAGATTCGACCCTACTACACTTAGGGTGGTTGATTAGGTGTAAATGTGGAATTAACACTTTAATTAACAAGTAACAAGTCACAAGTTAATTATTTCTAGGTGATTAGTCAAATTCAGATTTTTTTATCTTTGAATATCGCAGTAATATCAAAATAATAAAGAAATCAGTAAACAATACCAGAATTGTTCACAGAGAAACCCAAGGCCGGAAAAACTTCTGGCACTTTGTCAATCAAAGATCCACTATAAACTGTTTATAAAACTTACAGACTACCAGCAAAGCTAACGACATAAGCTTTCTGATCTCCTGTCTGAAATTTGAAGCAGCCCTCCTGGAATGTGCACACCAACACCAATCCTGACTCTTCTTAGTAAAGCAGTCCTCTTGAGATGAGGACACGAACTCCAATCCTGACTCTTTATACAGTTATCTCCTGTAGATCTTCCCCAA